GCAGTGCGCCTATCCTCACCGTTGTAAAAGCAGCGCCTCATGCGCTCTGCGGCTAATAAAGCCGCGCTCGCGCATACGATGTTGCGTATTCGTCGCGCAGCCCTATACCAGCATTACGGTACCATCATCTAAGTGCTAATTTATTGGTAAAGTTTCTTGTCAATGACAAAGACTCAATCTGATAGTATCCTAGTATCTCGGCACCATTTTTACGCAGATCTCTATCTACAGGCAGCCTTCTCATGTTGGATAGTATGGCAATTTCGCACAGGTAAAAGCTTATAACTCTCTTTAGAGTAATGTGCCGCAAGGGACAGCGTATTTGGAGTCAGCATTCGACTGATTCCAATTATAGTGCATGTTACAGTATGTTAGCACAAGATTCTCCTGATCTGGTTAGGACGACAATTAGCTTTGGTGCTTGTCGCATTCAATTTCTGCAGGGTGATTCCCTAATTACTTGAATGCTAGGATCTTTAGAAAGTTGTAACCTTGAAATAAGGACTCCTCTTTATAAAAACAATGCCTTTACTTTACTTAATGCTTCTGAGGACATTGTAGAAGAAGTTAGGAGACAGAAATTTGAGCTCAGGTTGCAGTAACGTCAATGTCGGACTTGCTTCAGCAGCAACAAGCCAAAAGATGAAAACCCTTGCTTGCAATCCAGCTGATAAACTGCAGATTTTCCTACTCAAAGCAGGTTTCTGGGGCGAGATACATGTGAAAGCTTTTTCAAAGCAAAAAAACGCAGATAGTCGGTTCATTTGGGGGTACGACACAGTTTGACTAAGGCAGCTATTTAAAACTTCTAAATGTGTACCTACCTAACAACATTCGGAAGCTAGGAAGTGCTTCCATCAGTAAAAATTCCTGGTGGACCTATAATTTTGACCAGCTTTCAAGTCTGCTTTTTCCAAAATTATTGATTTTTTTCTTGAATAACCAAACGAAAACGAGACTCGTTTTAAAGACCGTTATTAGACTGGTAAACACACAGCCGTACCAAATTTTAGAACATTTTATTGACAACAGAGTGAGTTATGGCATTTTTTAGAGTGAATCTATAATTTTGTCCAGCACTGTATATTAGGTTGTCCCAAATGTAAACTCCTTTTCAAAAAAAAACAGCTGTTTTCCAGCAGACTTAGAGTAGCATTCAGTAGAGCGAAGCGAGCTCTACAAAATGACCAAAATGACCACTAAAGATCCGCCTAAGTCGTGATCTAGTAAAATCTGGAGCCAAAAATCAAAAAATCGGATCTCCCTTCAGAGAACTCTCACGAACCTTCAACTTTCTCATTATACAGTAGTGACATAGTAATACCAAAACATATCCAGTAGGTAGATTTTTTCCGGAGTTCAAAATTGAGAAACTGAAATAGCCCTAAGATAAAATGTCCCTTTTTTGGGTTTATTTTTGGTCGCAAAATTTGGTATTTCTCGAACACCCATGGCGCATACAGAGGTATGGCTTTAGGGTTGAACTTACTAGAGCTTATAGTATGCAATGACATGGTTGGGGAGGTTGAGGGCGGATTCATTTTTGGACTGTCTTATGTTCTGGCTTTTCACGCGCGGAAGAAAACAGTAAAGACTGCGTACTACCATGTGTCTAGTATAATGACTTGGATGTCCGTAGCATTTTTTTTGCAAAAATCCAGTTTTGGGTGAAATTTTATCTAACGATTTTGCAAACTTTACCAGGATTACGACTTAGGCTGATCTTGGTTATCATTTTGTAGACTTGCTTTGCCCTATCAAATGATACCTAAGTCTGCAAGAAAATAAAAAAGTGCTTGACTTATCTAAAAAATTCTACTTTTGGAACAACCTAATAAAACATATGGGACAGAATTAGTTCTCAACTTCTGGCATTTTGAGACATTCATGAATGTTTTTGGGTATGGGCTATGTAGGCTACCTCGTTCAGCACAGAGGGTGTATGATAGTTTCCTTGATTACATGAGATGAGCCTCACACAGGGGATGTCCTAAATAAATGTAACAATTTTTGAATGGCAAATATTGCAGGGCTGGTTTCAACCTATGTCACTCATTGCTTTAGGATTACGCGAACAACATTAAAACATTCCATAAAACAAAAGCCAAAAATGCTTGAAAACTGAAAAGAGTTCATGACCGTCATCTAGGATTGCTATTTCCATATATGGGCTTTCGCTTCGCAATCTCTTGAAAGGTACGACGGGTATACTGCGAGCTTCTCCCAGTATTTATCAAAAACCTGGCAACATTAGACAACCTACTCATTGCAAAAATCAGAAGTTTTGAAAAAAACTTCTGATTTTTCTGCAATGAAAGCTGATCTGCAATACATTGTTGAAAAATTCTACCGTAATCCCATAGCATGAAGAGCGACGGGTGATTCGTTTTGTACACATCTGACAATAATTATGCCAGCTACATTTTGCTATCTAAGGCTGGCGACACAAGAGAGTAAATAGCATTGAAACATTTTTGAAACATCTAGTACATACCCTTTGATCGTCAATATTTTAGGTGTTCAAGAGATGACATCAAATTGAGTTTACGGTATGAAGTGAATCGCCGATCGTTCATCCTTTGGAAAATTGGTAGAAAAATTAGTTCCACAACAAGAGAGGAATGTTGACTAAAAAAGCTTCCAAATAGCCTGAAATCTCCAGAACCACAGTTGCTGAATACAAAAAGGAATTTTCCTCTATAGCGACTCCATAACATAGTATTAGGTTGATGCATAATTTTTCTGCACCAAATTAGGTACAGACCGCAATAATCCGAAATAATCCCATATCCCAAATGAGATTCGATATATCATTAGATAGAGCAAACCTAGCTCCACAAGATAGTGCTTAAAGTTTTGCAGCAGCTTTGATCCGAGCGAAGATTAAAGCCAAAAACGAAGAAGATTCAAGCGCCCCAAAAAACAAAGAACAAAATTGGAAGTCCGTTCAGAAAAACCCTTCAAAATTTCTAACTTGCTCATGCATTGTCGTTTCGTATAAGACATTTCTCTATGCAGTTGCTGTATTTTTCTCTCAGCTAGAAATTCGGAAAACGAAGTTTTTCATGTCTTTTCTAAAATGTTGAGATGTTCTAGCACTGGCAGTTGTATACTATAGGACCTTAGAAGAGTGAGTGTGAATTTCCAACTCTTCAAAGCAGCTGGTTTACGAGAAATATCGAATTTTTAGCAGCTAGGCAAGAAAAATTCGGATAAGGAGAACTAGATTGGTTATTTCTCGTGAACTAGCAGTTCTAGAAGGTTGAAAATGTAAATTTTTACTGCTAATGACATGTACTATACAACTGTTAGCGCTAGAACATCTCAGCACTAATTTGGCAAGAACATGAAAAACTTCGTTTTCTCATCGTCTAGTTGAGAAAAAAATACAGCAACCGCATAGATAAATGTCTTACGTGGAATGCCTACGAGTGAGCAAGAAAGAAATTTTGTAAGAGCTTTTTGAACGAAGTTACAATTTTGTTTTGATTGGTTCAAAGGTTTTTAGACGCATGGTTTTTTTTTCAGTTTTCGGCCTAAAACTTCGAGTGGATCAAACCTGGTGTAGATACTTGGGCACTATCTTGTAGAGCTAGGTTTGCGCTATCTAATGTATAGAATTCTATTTGGGATACAGGATTATTCAGGATTATTAAAGTCTGTATCTACTTTGGTGCAGGAATTATGCATCAACCTGATAATTTACGCTAAATATGTCATTAGAGGATTTATCTGACTTCAAAGTCAGTTTCCTCGCAAAACAATATCGCCATGATCGAATGACGTAATATTACTTTTAACTTTGGAGGCAGCCCTTGTTTAATAGTGGGTTTGATAATTGTGACAGCGAGAATGGTTAAAAACAAAGAAAATAAAACCAGTTTATTAGCATGCCATAAAAGTAGGCAAAGATGCCAGAGTGAATTTTTTAAAAGTAAGATGCCCAAAAGATCAAGATAGAAAGCACCAAGCGGCGAATCGATTCAAGCCTCGCAATGAGAAAACGATACGCCGGCGACGTGAGTCGGTCAAGGGAGGCGGTCGCGACGACCCGAGCCGCGGGGTTGTGACCCTCATGTTGAAACGCCCTCTACTCAGACAATCGCTGGGGGCAGGCGGGCACCGGAAAAATAGATTGCTGATTTCTCGCACTCCGCTCGCGGATTTTTTGCAAAGCAATCAGGACTTTTCGGAAGACCACTTGCTGAGTTAGCGGATTTTTGAGAGACCGCCTGTTGAATTTTTTTTAGCTTTTATCTTTTGCAGATATATTGCTGAATCTCTGAGGAATCGAGAACTCAGCAAGCGGTCTTCCGAAAAATCCTGATTGCTTCCCAAAAAATCCGCGAGCGGGGTGCGAGAGATCAGCAACCTATTTTTCCGGTGCCCGCCTGCCCCCGACGATTGTCTGAGTAGGGGCTTCGGTCATTGCAAGTTCTGCGGCGGCTGGAGCATTGCGTCAGCTGAGGAACTTTTTATGAGTTTTGCGAGTACATTAAACAGCAAATTCTTCCCGTCACTTGAACTTCTTGGGGAAAATTTTAGAAAAAAACAAACTTGACTATCACAAAAGCACGGGTTTCAGATTTTGGCGATTTGGGGACCCGGTCACTGTACTGCAGCAAAACGTAGTCATCTAACTTTTTGCAAGTTGGGGCAGCCGTTCAAAGAAGGCGAAAAACTTTTTTGACGAGCTAGTATATATTACATGTGCGTTGCAAACGAGTCATCAGCAGGAGGTTTCAAAAAGACTGCCACATTTTTCAAAAAACGACTTCTTTAATTTTCGCACTTTATTTCTCCTGTCTCTTCTTCATGTATACTCAAATCAAATTCCTTGCCATGTTATCTGTAGCAAGTAACAACATGTGTTTTTATCCCTAAGCTCATTTCCAACTTGAATTGCCAACCTCGTGCCGTGCCATGTTTTACTAATCAAACGGAAGTAGAAGAAACAGGTTACGATGAGAACTGCTACTTTAGAAACATTTATTAGAACGAGAGAATGGAAAGACACACTTGACAAGCTTGACAGATGCAGGAGGAAAGGGAAGCTGTACCACGTCAACATCGTGTTATACAACATTCACAACAGCTGTTTTTACGAGCAATTAAGGTAAATTGCACAGATTTAACAAATAGCTTGGTCATTAAGCACGCAATAGTTCAGCAACACTGCCAAAAATGGAAAAGCTTGGCTCAAACAAAATAATGCATAATGTACTTCTCAACACATTTTGCATGTTCGAAGTTCAACATAAAAACGCGGTAATGAGGTTCACGAGAGGCTTTCAATATTGCATACCGTCGATCGTCCAATAACTTTTTCAGCACGAAAACAAAGCGCTCATGGAAATTGTTGTAAGCGTGAAACTCAAGCATTATTAATTAATTGCTGGCACAAATTGTAAAGGGGCTAGCATTACCTCAACATTTATTTGGCATGCGACAAGCCCATTTTTATCAAACTCATCATTCACTCCCATCATGGGAATTATATCGTATTCAGGACCTGAATATAAGAATTATGATTTTTCGGAAAGTTCGTCAATGACGGTTAGAGTTTCTCCATCAGAAAGCAATATGATCAGTAGCTCACAATTTGCTCAAAGTCTTCAGTTAATGGAAGCAATCTTATATGCAGGTTTCTCAAAAAGATGTGAACACTGTTCATCGTTAATAATCCTCTTCCTTACATGTCCTTCTCCGAGCTTGAAGTACCATTTTGTAGAGCGAGGTTTAACTCAGATTTAGAGTATAAAGTCGTCAATCGCTCTTCATTACTCTAGGATTACGGTATGAACTTCGAAAAGCATTTTAGAAAAGTGGAAGGGATTCTTGCCTCAGAAGGAAACCAGAACAAGCCAGAATCTGGTGCTGGACTAATCGAACGCAGGAAGCCAATGTTCGTCAGAAGTGTGAACACAGCATTGTGAGAGTCAAAATCTGGTGAAAAATTGTATAGTGAAATCAGCACATCTGCAAACCTAGTTCACAAATTTCCAATTTTTTTGTAGATTTTTCCATCAAAATGCCTCAGTGGCACAAATTTCCATTTTTTTCTGCATTTTTCATAAAGGCCACAGTGGTGCTTTGTGCTGAAAGTTCACACCTAACTTCTACAGTAATGAGGAGTGATTGCTGTTTCGGTCCATACTTCCCCTAACCCTCGGCCTGCAGAATGGTACCTCAAGCTCACGAAAACATGAAAGCAAGAGAATTATTAAAGACCAAACAGTGTTCACCTGTTCATCTTTTTGGCCCACCATGTATAGCTGGCTGATTGTACGTATGTTCCATTGCGTACTTACGCTTCGAGGTGAGCAGGTGTGACGAGCTACTTTTTGTTATAACAATCGCTATCGATTTCATCAATTTTTGCAGACATTAAATACGGAGTTAGGAGTTGGCACGGAAAATAAATGAGCCCACTGATTACTAATGCAGTATTACTTTTTGAAATTACCGGCTATTTTCCATGCGGTTACCATTAAAAATTGGACGTATTAGTGATTGTTTTTCCAGTTTTGTTGCGTTTTTGAAATTCTGTATCGAAATATGACTATTAGCGATCTAATTTGCTTGAAACTTTTTCAGTTAATGAAAGCAATTTCATATACAACTGACTGTCTATACGCCTGTTCCAAATCAAAATCACCTCATTATATTGATCCGAACCAAACTTCGCGCACACACAAGTTAAGGTGAAGTGGGTGTGATGAGCTACTTTCTGTATCGATAGCTATCGATTTTATCACGGGGCCAAGTCGGAGAGTAAATGAGCCTGATTATTGATGCAAAACTATTTCTCGAATTTGTCAAGTATACCAGTTAATTTTTTTGCAAAGTGTGAGATTGCGTGCTGAAACTTGCAGGAGGTAAAGGATGTTCAACTACAGCTGTCCCACTCGTGCAATCACACCATAGTGGGGGTGAGCATCACTGCTATTAACAGCTTTATTGTATGTTGCAGCGCGCTGAATATTTGTTTGCAACATTGCTGTCTTCTAGCCTCCTTTGCTTTCTTACCACTACCATTTTCTACAAAGTTCATTCAAGCACTTACTCATCTTCGTTTCTTAGTCTTACGGGATTTTGAATACCTTACCCTTTGATTTAACGGGACTGACTGCTGGAAGGCGGGGCTTCAAGGCTTAATCAAGGTTAGGAAATGAGCAGAGAGCAAGCTAACGAGAAAGATGCAGACTGTGTTGCGGGTGCGAGCGGTCGCTCTCCTCAAATTTGGGTGAATTAATGGGCACACTATTTCGATAAAAGTAACGCAAGAAATGTAGGTCTAACACGTTTTTCAAAGTTCTTTAATTTTTATCTGAAACAATCACTTGAGAATGTCGGAGAGTGCAGTTCGCAGGTATGATTTGATTTGATTTCCAATTTACGATGATTCATATGCGCAACTCATCTCACTAATTTAGAAGATGTCCACGTAACACTGCTCTTCGGCGAAGTTGAGGGAACGAGTAAGTGTCGCAATAATTGCAAGTGGCTATCATAGCGTGCTTTTTCTTCAGTGTTTCTACATGATCTACATTTCTTTGGGATCAGAACAATCAAGTGTCTATCCTAGCACTCTTATCAACCACGATTGTAGGAGTGCTGTATCAAAAAACTTGAGTGGTCTGATTCTAAGGGCAAGCAAACTACCGCCGATGCAGTCACTAAACAACTTTTTCTTGCGAGGCGCTGGTCTCAAAAGTTATACCAAAGCAGTTTCGAAATTACCCCTCCTTCCTCCGCCCGAGGCAGAAGATTCAATGTTTGAATAAACCTGAAAGAAGGGGAGAATTGGAGTTGTCTGAAGTAAAAAATGAGAAGGTATTATAAATGTTAATTGACAGAACAGGTCACACTTTTTCCAAATGTGATAAGTAAAAAATGTCTTGAATAAATTAAACAAATGGTTTTTTGCATGGTCGAGTAGATTTTCCGCTTAAAGCACAGAAGGTGAAATGCGGTGGTTTGCGCGTGAATAAATAGCCACGCCAGTACTGCCGGCATTTGGCGCGCGCAACTAGCTGGCGTCACAGTCGAGGCTATTGCTCACGCTCAAAATTTACGCATTTCACCTTCTGTGCAAGCACACTATATTAGGTAGGTGCCAGTGTAAGCGAATATTTTGTTCAGCTTCGTTCACCTGCAAAAGGCGCACAGAATTAACGTTGATTCTGCGCGGGACCTGTAGCTGAAGCAGGCCTTGGCAGCAGTAGAGATTATGCGGCAGACATTAATTCTGCGTGCCTTTTGCAGCTGAACGAAGCTGAACAAAATAGTCGCTTACTCTGGCACCCACCTTAAGCGGAAAATCTACTCGACTGTACGAAAGAGATACGAAAGAATTGCTTTTACGCACTATCAGGCTGAGGTCGTCCTCTGAAAGTCTATTGAAACCTGCACGCTAATTGTCTGTGATTGCAGACGAATACACGCGTGCAAGCGCAGACATATGACGTCGATTATGCTTTTTGCACACATTTGTGCAAAAGCATAATCAACGGTGAAGTTTCCTTCAGCTGTGAGTTTTCTCATGAGCATATTTTCTCAGGAAAGGAGTTCTTGGAACCATATTATTACTGTGGCAAAAAAATGTTTTGAGCTTACTAGTCATTAGCTCACATAACATGTTCCGCGCGGTAACGGTATTACGCTATGCCGTTGCTATAAATTACCTTGTTTCTGTCCCCCCCCCTTCTATAAGTCTTTCTCTGCTCTCATTTTTTTCTAATCGCTCTGTTTCCCCTCTGTACCAACCAGTGGCGGTCCGAGAAATTTTTTTCGGGGGGGGGGGGGGCGACAAAAATTTTTTTCTAAAGAAGGTGCGTGGCGTTAGCCACGCACTCCGAAAAAATTTTTGGGGTGCTTCTCAAAATTTTTGCGGGTCTCCGACCCCTAAAGTCTGAAAAAAGGGGGCGTGGCGTCAGCCACGCCCCCGAAAAAAAATTTTTTATAAGGCTAAAATGAATTTTTAAAAAATTTTAAAAATTATTTTAATTATTTTCAAGTGCAAACAAGTCGTTTGCACATTTTTACAACCAAAAATTTCGCAACCCATTCTCGGGGGGGGGCGCCCCCCCCCCGCCCCCCCCCCCCTCGGTCCGCCACTGGTACCAACTGCCAGCTCTTCAGAAAAAACATTGCAAACAATCAATGAAGCGATGAATGCTGGGATATTCCAAATGAATGTTGCTTTTGATTCTACAAACATTATAATATGTATTAGGCTTTTTTATAGATATTTCATTTGATCATGGAAAATCACTGTGTACTCGTCGCTTTTTTCAGCCAAGTTCCAACCTTTGCCTAAAGTTAGCACAATTTTACTCACGTAGGAATTATGTACAGTTAGTAAGATTTTATGCTTGACCAGAGAAGTTCTCTAACGCTGAACATTTGTTTTGCTCATACAGAAATGGTTATTTACATACAAGCAACGCATCGTCTCATGGCAACTCTTTGTGTGGGACAGAAGCTGCGTTTTAAGGCTCAAAATTGTGTTAACTCTAGAGTAAGGTTGGAACTTGGTTATAAAACATGACAACTACGCAGGGATTTCCCGAGCGTCCAACAATTCATTCACCAAAAAACCTTGTCTATGTCGAAGACTTGGTGCAAGCTGATTAGAGTGCTTAAACTACTGAGAAACAGACGTTTTTGGGCGCTGAGTCCAAAAGCATTTTGAGCCACCTTATTGTTGATAGAGTAACGCTCCTCTTTCTGAAGTGCAGACTGGGATCAGCATGTATAAGATATGTTAGACTTTGTTACTTTGACTCTACAAAAAAACTTTTACTAAAAGGACTGCAGTTTTAAGTGGAAAAATGATCTTCGTTCAAGGTATTCGTATAGTTACAAACCGTTAACAATTCGCATGGGGCGCAAAAACAAAGATTTTTATTCTTGTGCAGCGTCTGCCGCTCTTGGCTCTGCTCTTTCATGTAGTAACAACGGTTTTTTAAGTTATTTCCAAAATTTAAACCGAAAATATATGGTGTTCGTATAAATATGAACTATACTAACTTTGAGCTTTACTATACATTGATATAGAATCCGGATATAAAAAAATATTGGGGAAAAGACCACTAGGTGCAAAGATTTCCATGCGCGCGGCTTTGTGTGGGAAGAGTGAGGCAATCGCTGACATTGCAAGCAGATACGTTAGAGTTTACCTTCATTGTCTATAAGGAACTGGTCGATGAAAGGAGTCTTCGTGAGTTTCACTAGTAATGTTATTACGTCAATGTGAACCATGGTTTGGTAAACATAACCTGAAATGAGATTACTATAACTAACAAAAAAAACACATTGAGCAACTTTTGAGCTCAATTTTTTTCAAAATCTTCCTTTGCTCATCAATACTCGATTCCAAGGTATACATTTTCAAGCCGCTTAAAGACAGCTCGTTTCCATTGCTCGACAGACAGATGAGTCAGATTTTGTAAACTACACATCCAAGTTGAAAGGGCCATTTCGAATCTTTACTTTGTTGGTCACACTCTTCAATAGGTGTACAGACACCTTTTTGTACAGACACCTGACCTGTGCTAGAGAGTTAGCTTTCCCTTCTTCCGAAAGTTTGCCAAGTGAGCTTCGTCAGTAAATCATAAATTTTGAGATTTCTTCAAAAAAATGTCAATCAAAATGGACTTACAGCTGCGAGAAAAATGAATATACAAATGTAGTATCGTATTACTTATTGGTCTTAGTGTTAGCATATTTCGAGGATTGATTAGAGGAAAAATGGGGCTTTAAATGGAGCAGTCATTGCTGTCACATTGTTCGTTGCGTGGATTGAAATTATCACAAGTGGTTATGTCTTATTCTTATTTAAGAAATTCACCATCTTCCACTTTTTTTCTCCTCACATCTTCCCACACGGAGTACGAGAAGATGTAACACATTTTCTCATCAGTTCAAGAGATGTGCAAGCAATTCACCTTTTTTTAAAACGTACGCCTGGCCCAACTTAGTTTCGTTGCTCACGGCAATTGGAAGGAATGTTCCGATAGTTGAGTAGAGCCGATCGTTTCCTTCGTATATAGGATCCGCACCAAAGAATAAGGAACCCTTGAACGAGGAACTGTAAATTACTCAAAATTCTGAATCTGGCCTCAAACATTGAAACTTGATTCTCAACCGCAATACCCTCGCATGCCCAACATTCTCGTAAAGCTTGATCAAAATGTTGAGCCCATGCTAATGTTTTGTTACTAGCAGCAATCTTTGGCGACCGCCGTCAAGATATACTTTTTGTGATGATCTGCTGGAGTTACTGGTGACATATTTTAATAAAAATGGATTGAGAGCTGTTATGTTTTGAGAGCGATTATTTGCAAAAATAGTCAGAAAGACATGTTAGAAGCTCGAATTCATGTTCAGCATTTGACATGACATGTTAGATTGCCGCTAACAATGCTGTCGATAAATCTAAAGATTGAAGAAGATTTTTGGAAAGGGTTCAAAGCAAATCTAGATTTTTACGAAGAGTTTTTGTGTACCCTTCTACCAGTGGCGTACCCAGGATTTCGGTTCGGGGGGGGCGCGACAAAAAATTTTTTCTAAAGAAGGTGCGTGGCGTCAGCCACGCACTCCGAAAAAATTTTTGGGGTGCTTCTCAAAATTTTTCTGGGTCCCCGACCCCTAAAATCTGGAAAAAGGGGGCGTGGCGTCAGCCACGCCCCCGAAAAAAATTTTTTTATAAGGCTAATTTGAATTTTTAAAAAATTTTAAAAATTATGTTAATTATTTGCAAGTAAAAACAAGTCACTTGCACATTTTTATAACCCATGTAAGTAACTTTCAAAAATTTCGCGACCCGTTCTCGGGGGGGGCGCGCGCCCCCCCCCGCCCCCCCCCCCCTCGGTACGCCACTGCCTTCTACCCACAGACTTACTTGTGGCAGCAGTTCCTTGAGCTGCTGCTCAGCGAGTATGTTACGTCCTACTCCGAGAGTGACTACCACAGATGGAGTTATCTGGAAAAGCCTTGCTATAAAACTCCTTTCGTTATTACCTCGTAATCAATAAATTAGTTTAGCTTGCTTGGGGACGTGTTCTTCTAAGTGATTGCTTTTTTTACGTTTTGGGGTTCACGTTCGCATTGGTTTTCGCCGTTCATGGATGTCAGTACTAATTTTTGAGACCCGCTGCAAAACTGCTAGAAATGGCATCCGATCAGCGTTGAAAATCGATAGTAGTGAGCAGTATTTCGGCTTTACTCTACACTGAACGTTGTACAGCGCACAAATCATCTAATGGGCCTTAGCTTGGCACATCTGATTTCAGTATTGGTTGTCCCACAAGTCTTTTCATATGTATTTCCACCTCCATAAATTAGTTCCCGTAATTCCGAAAGTCCGGGGTTTCGTTCTACAGATCAGAGCGTTAGATGGCATTTGAGAGTTCAACAAGATGACTTCAAGAGCTCGCACCAAACTTGATCTGCATTAGCTTTCGAGCTAGTAAAAAAAATTCTAATTCCTGAAAAACGATAATTGTGCCTCTGCTCACAACAACACGGCGAAATCCCTATTAGCTCACGCATATACTTCCTTCTAAAAGAATACAACGGCCAATACAAATACATTTTTTAATGGCTAGAAATTAAGAAAAATAAGATGCATCCTCAAACTTTGTTTGAAGCGGTTCTGTGCACCTCGCAAGTATGTATTTATGTAGCTTATTCATATAGAAATGATGTCACAAGTTTGCAGCCATGTAGCTGCTCTACTTTTTGAAAAATATCATTCGGAAATTTTTAATATGAAAGGTCTAGTGGGACAAAAAATGGAAACGGGTTAACATTCTCAAACTTTGCAATACAAATTTTTGCAAATGTGCCAGAAATGGTGTTTGACACTCAATGTGAAACTCAGATGTAGTGTGCGGAAATTTTTAAGTGCTAAATTAGCATGATGAGCCATTATATTCAATTATGTGAATATCCCAATTTCTGAAAAAAGTTTCGTTTCTGTTTGGCACTTTAGAATATCGTCTTTTGGACTCTAATCACCTCGTTCCTTGAGTCGCTAGTATATTGTTTTATTATACGGGCCGTACTTATCAGAGGGTAGGGGGATATTGATTCGTGACTTATGACTCGAAGGATGAATGGAGTAATGAATATAAAATAGGTGATCATAGGAGGCAAACGAATCGAAAGGCTTACATCAGTATTGTTGTGGATGTGGTACTTGATCTCTTCTTTATTACTATGTTCAGTGAGGTTCAGTTTATCCATGGCGGTTTGCTGACGACAGGTTTCTATGGATTCACCAAAGATGGACCAAAGCTGTAAGAGCTGCGATATCATACAAATGCTGAAGATGCTGGAGCCACTTTCAGGTTTTCTTGGCTGAAGTGCAGTGGAACGATCCGTTTTGGAAAATTTCTGCCAAAACCGCCATTTCCATCAACTTCATCTATCTTCACATTGCTTGACTTTTGGTTCATAGATGTTATGACATTACGAAATCATATATTGTATTCAGCGTCACTGCAGTCTTTATTCATAACCTCATCTTTCGCCTTTGACATTGATTCACGTTACCTTGCACTCTTATCAACGAAAGTGCCTTCGAGGCGTCGCATTCACAAACACCCTAGCTGGGGAAGGGGAGGGGGGGGGTGAGCGCGGCCCAAAAAAAGCTTCATGTTTTAGAGTTCCGCAGGTGTGGATTTCATGCTATCCATTCACATTCCTTCAAGCGTTACTACTGACCTTTACTGTAAATATGTTGAAAAGGAGCACATTGTTATGTAATCCGCATATGCAGCTTTCAATTATCCCTCAATGATCCACAGCGCCGAACCGTTTTTGTTCAAAATTTTTTTCCACTGAGTTCAATGAAAACATCCGAAATTGTATGGCTATCTAATCCAGCAGTGCCAAGCATGTTGCTTATAGTTGTCGCTGATAACAACACAAGATTTCCGTTACACCTCAAGTTTTGTAGTTTACATTTTCATTGATTTGATTTCTATTGCCTATTAGAAGCATGCTTAAAGACTGGAAACTGCTGAACGGGAAATCAACTTTCAAATGCCTTCTTGGCTTCGAAAAAAAGAAAAATGGCTTTGGGTTCAAAATGCTGGCAGCTAAGGATAATAGGAAGATCGAACGAAAAGCCAAAAAACCCAGCTTATGCAGTAACGTGCTCCTGTTCGCTAGTTCATTGTTCATAGTAAGGGGTAGTGAAAATACTTTAGTATGGGTAAGCACAAATGCATGAGCTTTTTTTAAAGCTACGCTCCCCTTCCTAGAGGGGATGTTCATTGCGGCCAGGTCGCATGCATAGATCGCTAGGAGTGGAGAAGGGAAGAGATGCTCTGAAGGAACGCTTTGCATTCCAATGCTGGTGAGTGGTTTTCTTTATTGCTATGTCATCTAATTCCTTAGCATAAAATGGCAGCGCATTGCCCCTCAGCACAGCTTCAAAACGCTTTCGTTGAAATAATGACTTTGAGAAAAAGGCGATCCCTTAAAGATACTAAAGAGGAGTATATAAAACACTGAAAAAACCAGCGTATCCTCTGTTTCATTGGGAGTAAGGAATCCTGGATGGGCTCGGCTCACGAGCGGCAGCCTCGCCTAGGCTCTGCATCTCCAGCGTGCTCTCTAGTTATTTTTTACCACGAGAAAGAAAAGGAGGAGCTTCGATCTCTAATCGAGCCTGAAATGATTAGGGAGCACTCTCGGGAAGAGAGGTAAGCTCAGGGAGGCGGCCGCGCAAAAGCCAAGCTCCACGACCAATCACTGCTGATGATACAGAGGGTGTACGCGATACTACTCATCATGCCGAAGTGTTGGGGTAGTAGAGTCTTCGAAAGCTGGATAGATTATAAGAACTACTTACTGGTTACTAAAACATTGAGATAAAAGCGCCGCTTCAAAGCTTTCCTCCTCTTCCCAACGGAGATCGCATGCAGGACTTATCAATGCATTGTTGTGTGCACCAGCATCTCCACTCCCGCGCGGGACTCTGCACCTCTTCCGCAAACATGCTCTTCAATCATGTCCAATCGGGTGAGGCTTCCTCTTTCTCACGCGCGCGGTGTTGATCAGAGAGCATGTTTGCGAAAGTGGTGCAGAGCCCAGGCGATTGTCGCGGGAGCGAAGATGCTGGTGCTCCCGACACTGCAGTTGATAAGCCCTGTACGTGGGGCGAGGATATCAAGTTGCAATGATTTGAAGAGATAGCTGTACCGGCTTAGATTTGACTTGTTACCCTCGCACTGCAGATACTTGCTTCTGAACAAATGACTGTTAATTCGGAGCTCAAGAATATGCGCTCATGGTCATCTGACAAATCCTCCTTTCAGCATTTACGAGCAAATTGTTTGCGCTCAAATACTGCGGACACAGCGGGGGGCAATTCATATCAATCATAAGTCGAATGAATCTCGGAACAATAAACTCAAAACGATTCCCAAAGCTGGCAAACAACTCTCTTTGAATGAATTTGGGTATGCACATTACTCACATCCCTCACTTGTAGCTTCAGTTCGCTATACTTTTATACGCTATATTTAAAGTACACTTGCATCACGGCAAATTGTGTTACTAGTTCAACGCTTACAATTTCTTAAGCTTAAGATGATCACCGTTGTTATGGATGCATGTGCTAGGCTAAGACAAATGACATTGAATCGGCCGATCTGTCGTATTTCTTTCAAATCGTTTGCAGATTTGCTCGTGCGCCTATCTCTGTGAGGCAATCTGGCTAGCTTAGCTAGCTTTGGCTAGTCCGGAAAACTCGATTTTGAGATTTTGTGCTTATATCAGCCTATTCGCCATGATGGATCCGAAAATCCATACTGAAAAGCGCGATAACGGCAAAAAAGGGCTCTAGCGCCGGAGGAAAACAGCAAGATGGTCGGGTCCTCCCCACTGTAAATTCACGCTCCCATCTTCCAGAGCGGTCTTCTCGACTCCGCTAGCCATCCTAACATCGCTACTGGTTAAGTGCGAATGAATGATTTGAAACCGAAAGCGAGAAGATCGCTTTGGAAGCTGGGAGTGTGAATTCACACTGGGGAGATTCTCGCCCACCTGCCGATTTCCCTCCTGTGCTAAAGCCGTTTTTGCCGTTTTCGCGCTCTCCTATGTGCATTTTCGGGTTCAGCGTAGCGAATAGGCCGAGTAAGCACAAGATCTCAGAATCGAATTTTTGCCCGGACACCGCCTCTAAAGGAGTTGGACATCACAGGATACTACCATAAACAAGCACTAAGGCCTTCATCTAGAACTATGGCACTAATCCAACTTTTGTCCTCCTGTAAAAGAAGAATCGGACTAAAGAACGCCGAGCCTCGAGGACCATGTCCGCTCTTAATGCTTGCTTTCGACAAGGATGTATCAAAAACACTCGTCCACCTTCCTCACAAAATCGTCTCAAAAATGAGCTTTTTGAGGAGTTCACGCATTCTAAGTGCCATATCTGTAATCAGCGCCATGAAAAGGCCTGGATAAAGCAAAAAAGTCGAGATCTTGCCTTTAAACAAACTTTCACGACTCACTACGCGTGAGTTCGCACAGCATTAGATCAATCAGCTTCTGCTATTTATTCAGAAAAGCGCAAGTTAAAGCGCTCTAATTGCTAAAGCAAATATCATACACCCGCCAAGCTTTCTTTTGTAGACAAAGTATCCAAAGAAAATTGGCGTGAAGAATAACAGAAGACATAGACAGCAAAAATTGTTGTATTTAGCATACTCGACTCACACCAAAGGTTCTACACATACATAAAAATTGATTAGCTCGGTTATCGTTTATATTGAAATCTTTTAGCATAATTCTTCAAGAAAAGAATGCTTTGAAATGGTCTGTTCCGCTTTCTTGGGGAAGTTATATCTGTAACTAGATGGCAAACCCGGCTCCGCCCGGGGCCAAACTTTGCACACATACACTTCGGGGCAGGGAGCGTGTCATAGTCCACTTTTCGTTATCGATCGATGTCGATTTCACCGATTTTTTGCAAATTTTGAGCTACGGGGCTGGGATTTTGCACAGGGGGGTAATCGAACATGCTGATCACCCCCACGGGGGTGATCAGCATGTTCGATTACCCCCCTGTGCAAAATCCCAGACCCCTAGCTCAAATTTTGCAAAAAATCGATAAAATCGATATCGATCGATAACGAAAAGTAGCCTATGACACGCTCCCTGCCCCGAAGTATATGTGTGCCAAGTTTGGTCCAAATCGGTTCAGAAATAAAAATTTCTATTCCGCACATACGTACAGACAGACAGACATACATACATACAGACATTCAGCTTTATATATAAGATTTGCGAAGCGGGCGCTCAGCCAAGGTATCATAAACGAAGTAATAGACGTTATGATAGGTTGTTTCATGTTGTTAACTAATACTGCCAAAATATATGCCAATGTTTATATTTTCTTTATTCATGTTTGAGATAATGTTCATTGAAGCAAGCTGTGCAAGATTGCTTCCAACCACTCGCACAAAGTCTAACTCATTTGAAGATTAAAGACGAAGTCTTGAATCTGGAATTACCCAAAAAATTGGACCTCAGTCCAAGAAAATTCTACAGAACTTAATCTGCCAATGGATGAAATCCTTATGAATTCACAGTAGGGACTCATATATAAAACGCTGTTTTCAAAGAAAATAGGCGAAATTCAAAAATGCCAGCTTTTCAGACTCTTCAAAGAACTAAAATTCTTTTATTTTGAATTGATATTTTTCTTTTCCTGACGCACGTAGGGGGGGGGGACCAAAAACTTGTTGCGGTGGTTGTGGCATCAAAAGTTTGCGAAATAGGCTCATCTACACTCCAGTGATTTTCCGCGCGTTATAGTGTGCTCGTGGTGCCGAGAAAATAGGTAAAATTTGTGCGTGAACAAACTGCCACGCCATTGATGCCGGCATTTGGCGCACATGAAACTCTGGAATTACTAGAAAATTTACCGCATTTTGTCTGCACCGCAAGCACACTACTTCAGGCGAGAAATCTAGATGACTATAATGAAAGAAGGTCATTAATGCTTTAGCTACTTTCATGTTTTCTTCCACTTTTCTGGCCATGTAAACAATTTGGCAAGCACGTCCATGAAAACCTGATGTGAGAGTACACTTGTGGGCAATTAGGAGCTTCGCATGATTTTCCTGAACAAAAACCGAGCTTTCAGGCCATAAAACTCCAGATATGGTTTTGGCTTCAAAACCTGCAATGCAGGAACTTCGCGCAAATATCTAGAAACCACAAACATTGTAAAACTTACATGGCTTTGTTATATAGTGACTTGAATCTTGAATAGACTAATT